CTTCACTATTTGGCCAATCATGCTTGATTTACTCTCCAGGTCAAGGACCACGAGCTGGGCGCGGGCATGACTGTATCTTATCTTATATCTTATCTGTTCCTCCTCGACGACCATGTAAGACAAGGATGAGAACAATCAGATTGTGCTACATTGTTTGAAATCCAATGCTTGATTCCGTAATTCGGGCCTTAGAAACAACAATAACTATTTGTCTAGTATATAATATGGAATATCTACATAAAACATATTAGCGAAATCAATTTCACAACTCAATATGCTTGTCAAGCAAATAATAGCACAGAAAGGGGAATTCGATACAGAATTCCTCATACGTGCTGATTGCCCCACCGATTGCGGTGCGCTTGATAACCTCAGCTCAGGGATAGGGTAACAGAGGATGATTCACATCCATATCAAACAGACTTCAATCTAACTCGCAAAGGGTTTCCCTGCTTGTAATTCTGCTCTCCTCTGTGGACTATATATTGAACTCTATTCTTTCTCGCCAGGCTAATCTTCTTTATCACGAATCAACTGCACCACTTTTCAGTACGCAGCCTTGTAACTGGCTTATCACATCCATCTACATAGTGACTCAACAACTTGAGACTCTCACCTCAAACCCAGCACCGGGAAAATGAGCGGCGACTTCACAGCTTTCTTCTATGGTGAGTGATATATCTTAAGACTTTTTGAACCGTTTTGACTAAAGCTGATGCAGGCACCTTGGTGGGTTTGCAAGTCGTTGTCGAAAGCGAGTACTAATCTTTGACTTTAGATGGCTCCCGAGGTGTTCTTCACTGTCTGCTACGGCAATCGTGACCCTCCCAAGGCCATCAAGGACATGCACACATTCACTCCGGCTATCCTGGACGGCTACTGTCGCCACAGAGTTGAGTGTGCAGATTACCCTGCAGTGGTCCCCGAGAAGGGTCACTCTGTCCTTGGCATATATGCCACTGGATTGACTGATGGCAATGTTGACAAGCTCGACATGTTTGAGGGATCTGAATACTTCAAGGAGAAGGTCAAAGTCAAGGTTCTTAACAAAGACGGAACTGCTCCTAAGAAGGAGGAGACCAAGGAGACATTTGTCTACGTTTTCGACAACCCCGATCACCTTGAGAAGGGCGAGTGGGATTTCGAAGAGTTCCGAAAGTCGAAGATGAAGAACTGGACCAGAGCTGGGCTTGGTTTCGGTGAGGGTAAGTTTACTCAGCCATGCTCAGGTGCTCATACTAATGATACGGATGCAGATATCCCTGAAGGAACCGGCAACGATGGGTGGGAGGAGTGGAAGTAAGCACCTGTTTCTGTAAGCGCTTTCCGGCATCAGAGGTCGCTCGCTTGCTTGATAGCAATGTATTTGCCTTTAATAGCGGTGAAGAATAGAGACACTGGCACCATCAAACCGGCTCGCGGAATGGGCCTCATAGATAAGATGATACAGTCGGACGAGATGAAATAGACAAATCATTATCTCTAAAAAGTTTCGCAAGCGCTCGGTCATGCTAAGAATCAGACAACGCACCAGGGAGTAATTCACAACTGCAGGTCTGGCGTTGGCCTTGTGCCGACAGAGTGTTGGGCCTCATTAAGTCATGGGCGGTTAAGCTGTCCCAAGCTGTCGGGACGCACCTGTCCACAGGCTACCGTAGCCTTTATTTCAGTATACTGAAGATGGATGTGTCTTTGCAGTTGCTCTAATGAAGGGTATAAGCTAGAGTCTCATCTTTTCCAGATTTAGTACATCTTTGCAGATAATACGAGTTCGCGGCGCATTAGGTCTACCTGCTGACGAAACGTTGCGGTGAATCCTTTGAGTAACAAGTGTCGAGAAGCTTCCTTTCCAGTGCAAGTTGGAATCAGAATTATTGATTAATAAGTGTACAGTGAGTGGCACAGAGGTTTGTTCTGTATTAATCTATGTGAGATGTGGCTGATGGTTCCCGGTGGTTCTCCCCGAACATGCTTGGGTAGGGTTACAGGTGGAAATCCCACTCCTCCTCGTTCAAAAGGAATGACTTCACGCCACCTGTTTACGCGGCTGCTATACCCGGCCCTGTTCATTATGTTTGAAACTTAAGACAGAGACTAATGAGATCGACAGTGTTCAATTGGTCTAATAACACCGCGTGGATATTTGATGAAGAAAATGTGGTCGGTGCTTTCATGCGGATCCTCAAATTGAATCTCCATCATGGTAGTCGTTGCCAAGTTTTACATGTACGAGCTCAGTGAGGGTCATCTGAACTCAAGACCCTTATTATGACCATTGACCTTTGTAGATTATGAGAGAATCGCCGTGTTTCGTCCGACATCACCCCCGTATTTTTTTCCCAGGTCCGTCTGTTGGTTGGGCTGCATGAGCTTCTGGTCACGAGAATGGCCGAAGAACCACCTAACCTAGACATTTGTTACTGAAGGTATATCGGCGACTATACGCGATTCACCATTGGTGACGGTATATAAGAGTGTTGAAAACAACAACAACGCTATTTCGAGCCATCTGCATGTAGTGCCGTCAGCCCTAATGGAACTGTATCTGGCGTTAATGTCACACGGCGATTGGATCTTATCATGCCCGGCCAGATCCAATAGAGGTACAAAACATCAAACTACTGGTTTCGGATCCAATCTTGTGAACTGTGCTCCAGTAGACGCAAGCGTCATCTCACCTTGGCCTGAAAGGAATCTAGGCACAAAACCTCTGTCGATAGACCATACGCTAAAAAGACTTACAAGTGTCATCACTCACTGTAACTGACCACTCAGCCTGCCACGTTGGCTAGGAAGAAGTCTCGGTTCCCTCCGGGCGCTACACATATTCCCAGCTTGCCAACCAACATCAGATCTCTCAACCCCACTCCAACTCCAACACCACCTCTCGTCCAAACCCGAAACACCAAAACACCAAGACGCGAAACATCATGACAGCGCCCTGCAGAAAATTATCAGAATGAGGCCTTTATCCGCAACTTACGCAAGGTGCCCACGCCTCGTGTATGATACCTTCTCTTTATGATTGGCTTGTCATAAAAACCCATTCTCACTAGGAAGTAACTTATGAAACTGTGCCTGTTTCATGAGAGAGAAGAAAAAACGATTATCTCTCCGAGAGCCCAAGGAACGGTTCCCTGCTGTCCTCGTTCGTCACACGGAGGTAAATCCCAAAAAGGGAGGAGTGTCAGGAGACATTCTTTGAGATCTTTTCGACCACACGTGAAAGACTTTTGCCCTGTTGAGGATCTACAGCTACCCCCTGACTTGGAGGCGATCGTCCAGGGGATACCTGAAGATGGCAGGCCTCCAGAATGCCCAGCCTGCAATGACAATGGGTCCAGCCGGACCTCCGATACTATCAAGTTGCACCAAGGTCCAAGGTCAAGGTCAAGCTACTCATGGTAGCTGCGAACTTATACCTAGCGGTATTTCGATGTGAAGCAAATATATTTGCGAAATTCCTCCCTGTGGCCGTCAAATCTCACCATCCTCAATTTTTCTTGTCTTGGCCAGAGTGAGACAACTGACTGGTTCTGGACTTCCAAGCCACTAATCCATTTCAACACGATCGCTTGGCCATACCCCTGTCTCTCAGCCTTATATCCCTGTCATCGCCCCCTGATTGGCATCGGAACCCCGCTATCAAGAGCTAGGTTTCTCGTAATGGCTGGCCCAGCACGTCGGACTGCTAGCAGGGGATGAGACGGATGTCCGAACAATGCATTGACTCGACAATGAGCTCGGATCACTGAGGCAAATCAACAGATGGATGTCGGATTATTCTGCGAATCCTCCTTTCGAGCATTTCGCCATGTTAGAATTCAAGGGGCATTTTCATGGTGGAATGTATTCCAGGACATGAATAGAAACCTGCTGTGCTGTCCTCCGTAGCATGACGTTGAGAGCAGGGTTGTTCAAAGTCCCCAGTCTGGCTATCGTCTTTCCCGAGTACTTGGTTCGACAGGGCCTGATTGGTGGTCGCACAATTGGAATCCCTTGCGTCCCAACCACATATTCTTTTCTCAGTCATTACTTCACCGACTAAGCTCCCTTGCCACCATGGAGAATGTATGGGCGGCCTACGCTAAGCTGACAGCATTGAAGCCGTTGACAAACGACAAATCATTGAGTGGCTCATCATTCTCGTAGAAGGCGCTTGAACAAACCACACAGGGGCCTCGCAGCTGAACAAGGGCGCCGGCAATAGATCCGTTGTCGTCTTCCATACAGATCCCTCTTTCAGGCAGGGCAGGTTCCCTGCAAACACACGAATCGCTAGTCAGGGGCATAAACCTCGTCTTTTCCTCCGGGGTATGCATGGGTCCAGTCCACTCACACTTTCCTTTCGTGACCAGATGAGTCTTGAAACATTGTCGTCAGCCTATCATGCATCGCTTGCTGCAAATCGTCTCTTAGTCCTCCGGGCCTAACCCCTCCGCCTTGCTTCGAAACGAGACTCAGCAATTGCATTGAAGAAACCTGAGTGGCTATGCATGTTTACTAGAAGTTGACTCTTCCCTGGCTATACGGAGAAAAGGTCCACTATGATCGCCTCTGAGTCGCATGCAGCCGCGTCCGTTCGCGGGTGTTTCTCCCGCTCACGGAATCCCCTTGCCTCGATGTCTGCCCTCAGAACACTGGTGGCCAGTCCATCGAGCGAGCTCAAGTCCATATAAGACGCCGTTTCCTCCCCCGTGTTACCATTCTTCTTCACCAACGACTTCAAAAGTCTCCAGCCAGTCCTTCAAAGTGAGATTGTCTCAACGACATTTCCATTCCTTCTTCTTTCTTTCCAAAGGCTAGTCCTTTCCTCTGTCTCGACGACATTCACGTATTGCCTGGTGCAATTCGACCCTTCCTTCACTCATACCCAAATCGAGCTACGACTCTTCAGTCCTATACCCATATCACTCGATTCTTGTCTTGACGACAATCTCACTACCTGAACCTTGAGTCTACCGTCCGGAACGTTCAGACATTTCCACCATTCAATCAAAATGTTCGCAAAGGCTTTCACTTTTGCCAGCCTGGCTTCTCTTGTCAGTGCTCATATGCTCATGAACAACCCCAAGCCATACGGAAACCCAGACAACAGCCCTCTCTTGGCAGACGGATCAAACTTCCCCTGCAAGGGAAAGGTCAATGATGGCTCCGGTGACAACGTCTACAAGCAAGGCAGCACCCAACAACTCTCATTCACTGGCCAAGCTGTCCATGGCGGAGGCTCTTGCCAGGTTTCTCTCACCACTGACAAGAACCCTACCAAGGACTCTGTTTGGAAAGTCATCAAGTCTTATGAAGGAGGCTGTCCTTCAAGAACTGCAACAGGAAATCTGGGCGACAATGCTGACGCCCAGAACCCTGACAAGTACGACTTCACAATCCCCAAAGAGTTGGCAGCTGGCGAGTACACGCTTGCCTGGACCTGGTTTAACCATGTTGGCAACCGCGAGATGTACATGAACTGTGCTGCCATCACTGTTGAAGGCTCAGGTGGCTCTAAAGGCCTTCTGGACTCTCTCCCCGACATGTTCGTCGCCAATGTTGGCAATGACTGTGAAACTCTTCCCAACACTGACCTTAAATTCCCCAACCCTGGCAAGGACGTCAGCCAGCTCAAGTCTAAGCTTGATGGTCCTAAGGGCGATGGATGCCAGAAGGCTGGATCTGGTGGCGGCTCGGGATCTGGTGATGGCTCTGGTGGAGGCGATTCTCAGCCTTCTACTCCTGTGGCTGCTCCTACTACCAACAACGGTGCCCAGCCCACTCAACCCGTCGCTACACCCGCTCCTAGTGCTGGCAATGGCTCAGGCGCCGGATCTGGTTCCGGGGATGGATCAAATGGCACTCCTGAGATTCCTGGCGGTGCTTTCATCACTGTTACCCAGCCTTCTGCCACTCAACCTACTGCTACACAGGCTCCTGCTGCTTCCGAAACTCCCAAGGATGGTTCAGGCTCTGACGAGGGCAACCAGGGCGGCGACTCTGGTTCTGAAAGCGGTGGGTTCGCGGCTGGAACTGCCTGCACAAACGAAGGCGAGTGGAATTGTATTGGTGGCTCAACTTTCCAGCGCTGTGCCAGCGGTGCTTGGACTACCGTTCAACAGCTCTCTTCTGGCGTTACCTGTACTCCTGGCCAAGGTGCTGATATTGCCATGACCGCCAAGAAAGGCAAGAGGAGTATGCGCCGAGCTCAGCGTCACAATGCCTAGCCCAAAAAACATTCATTATTATATTTAGGGTCGGTCATGATTTCGGGTCTCGGAGGTATGGAAAGGCGTCTGGAAGTCGTTCTATGTTCTATTAGATAAATTCTTATGGCATTTCATAACAATACATATAACTTGAGACCAACAGCCTTGGGAGCAAGCAATGTGATGTAATCAATAGCGGGCATTGTGACGCAATATAATGTAGTAAATAACCCGTCACTTGGAGTTCCGCATTGAGATATTGTAGTTATGGGAAAACTACTTCAGGCTCCCCCATGCTTTTGACACACTTCCAAAGGACCCTGAAAAGAGTCCATCCGGCAGTCTGCTGAAGAGAGATCTTCCAATACTTTCTTGGACTAAAATGACACGAAGATTCTAAAACACTAGCAATAGGGCAACAAGTAATATTGAGAAGTAATATGATTTTTACTGGCCATTATTCATGTACCGCATAAGGCTCATTGAAATTGTAACAATCCCAGCTCAAACCTAGAGCCATGTACCACTTTTGATCTGACTTTCTGGCTGTGGCCTTCTCCTGAACATGCGCCATAGAAAGCTCTTTTTCACCTCTAGGGAGAGCGGATCGACTGGCACAACATGAGGATCCATTTCAATTCCGATATGGACATCCCCATCTCTTCCGATATACCTCCCGAAACTGAATGTTCGAGATGTATTGCCAGGAGTAGCAGCATTATAGGCAGGCCCAGCAAGTCGACTTGGTGCGACATAGGCTAGAACAGAACCCAAAGTTGTTGGCAGCCGAGGTAAAACAAAAGGAACGGCCCTGCTGTAGAAGATAACAGCAACCACTGCGTTCAGCGCTAGAACAGTCATAGTCATGATGAAAGAGACCTCTTCCATGAATATTCTCGTTTCTTGCGTCCTTCGAACCACAGTCGATGGTTTCATCTCGCTTCTGGAATCAAACAGCTGTTCATTTAGACTCAGGAATATGGCAAAAACCCGACGGTATATATCTTCGATGATAGGTCTCAACTTTTCTGTATCCGGAGGTGGCCGACTAGGATCGATGACATCCCGAGATCCCGTCATAAGCACCGTGAAAAAGTTCATCCAATCTCTTGCCGTAGAATCGTTATGCCATTGAGCTGCCAAGTCGTTCCATTGGTTATGGATATTCTGAAAAATAAAGTCCACTTGTGGTTCCCAGCCTTCGTAGTCCAAGGTCGTTTCCGATTCGCTCGTTTTCTCATAAGATAGGACATGTCCAAGTGCATCGACAGTGAGGTTGAACATGGCTGTTTCGAATATTGGCCGGCAGGTCATGAAACTGGCGTCTACAGTTCCATTAATCTTATCGGCTTCAGGAGTACGAGCCCAACCCATTATCAAGGTTCGTGCACATGAAATTGGCCCGTAATTGTACCCAACTGTCGTTATTTTCTCCTCGGCGGAAACACCTGAAGAGCGATTAAATGTGTTTTCTCGCATGTCTTGACTGAGAAGATCGATGCCATTACCACAATCGCGTTCTCCCACCTTGCTGAAATCTCTGGTTGGGCGAGGATCTTTGAATATGGTCAATCGTCTTGTGGGCACCGCTGTGCAATTTGCTTTGGCACCGAATCCTCGAGCCGGTATACTGAAAATATCGCTTGAATTTGAATCCTTCGGCTTACTAAAGATATGCCTCTGGAAATAGTAATCCTTCGAGACCCATGGGGGAAGTGTAGTTCCAGAGGAGAAGTTAGCCATTGCAACATAGTAATGATCAGAGTACTGATTTGTTGTGATCACGTCTCGACTTAGAGTCGCGTCGAGGCTGAAGACTGAGTCATTATCGAACTTGGCCACGAAAGCTGGGGCCAGGTTTTCGGTATACTCTGCTATCATAGGCGCTTCATTAAAAAGAGAACCCATACCAACTGCCAGAAGGTTGGCAAGTAGTGCCATTGCGCATACCAACACGAGGACGAAGTGTCTCGACTTCAAAGCCCTCCAGATAACGAGCTGTGGGGGTATTGATGTATAGGAAGCAGAGATAGTTCGTGAAGGTTCTGCTTTGCCTTGCCAGAGATCTCTAAAGGGCTGAAGAACACAAAGCAGTCGATTAAGAAGAACCCAGAATGGCTCGATAAGTGTCGCAAAGATTGTCGGAATGTAGTTTTCCAAGAGTTGTAATACCTCGAAGTTCTGAGATGGGCGATGCAAACCTGAGAAAGGTCAGTGTCGTTCTAGGAGATGAGAAGACTGCATGGGATGAAGCAAATCACCTTTCAAGACTTTCTCCTGGTGCTTCAAGTAAGAAAGTCCAACCATGGCGCCGAGTAAAACAAGGACAAAAAGTAGTCCGCTCCACCTTCTAAGAGCCAGTGGTTTGATAGGCTCATAATATCCTTTCTGCAAGCCAGCATCGCAATGATCAGGCCTTAAAGAATCCCCAATAAACTTGTCAATCGATACTTTGGTGCAATCTGAACGCTTGTCGTGGTATAATCGGAGCTGGTCTTGACGAAATTCTTCAAACAATGTCTTTTCATCGGCACTATCGAGTGACGATAGAGCCTGAAGGCATTCGGGACTATGTCGAAATATTTCAAGGTATTTCGAAATGGAAGAAGGGTTCATGGGGAGCTGACATGGAGAGGTACGACATAACCAGAGCACAAGGCCTGTGAATATGGCGATGACGACCATCAGACACTCGACCGACGTCGCGAACACTCTGCTTACTACCACGCCTGTAAGGAAGAAGTCGACAGAGGCGGTAGTGTTATTGAGTTCAGTGCCATTGACAAGTAAATGATGAACAGCTAGAGAAAACAAGTATTGGTGGGCATCGTTATACACTCGCTCGAGCATTTCCCTCGATGAATAGTCTGTGACTGGATTGTCTCTTCCTGCAAGTGCATAACCGACCATATTCGAGACGGGCTTTGCGAGTCCAGTCTTGTTAAGCCGTGGATGCTGTTCAACAACACGAGAGAAAGGATAGTCCCGAACGATGATCTTTTCTGACACTCCGTTTGCTAAGATGTATTCGAAAGCCGTTGAGTTGAATTCTTTGTCTGTAAGGATCTCTCTTGGTCCGATAGGGTACATAAAACTGGTATCGGGTTCAAGGTTGGACGATTTGACCCTTGCCATAACGCGTTGCTTGTAGTAAGTTGGTTGACAGAAAATGGCAGTAACGTTGAAATGAGGAATTTCAGTCATGGGGATAGTTTCGGTAGTTCCGTTCAAGTCAGTTTGCCTGGCCCAGGTTGCCAGAAACTGGTGCGTTGAGTTTCTGGTTGGTGGACATTCTGGATTCCCAAGGTATATGTCGGCATAGGCGTTTGAATAATATCCAATATAATTCATCGTGTAGTTAACGCCCCGTCGCATATTGACAGTTGCATTACATCCCTGGCCATTAAGAAAGTTGTAAGCTAGTGTCGCACCGTGTTCGTTTCGATGAATATCTGCCTGCCAGCAGCTCAGTTCCGTGGTCAGCTTTGTAGTTTCCGCTGTCCAGTTAGTGGGAACCTTGTCTGGAGCTGTATTGCTCCTAAGGTAGAAAGGTAGAAGCGCATATTTGGATGTGGTGAAGGGTGGATATGGCTGGCCTAACCAACCAACCGCATATCCATTGTTCAAAACCTCAGGATCCAAAAGTGTTACCTGCTGATTCAATGGAACGAGCTGGGATCGGTGCGTTGTGTTTGCTGCTTTAGTCTGGTTTATCACCTTCGTTCCCAGCAGAGAACTTTGTAGTGGTGTGAGAAGCCAGAAAACCATGACCATGGCTGTCCCCCCAAAGAAAACTGGCCAATGCCTACATGTGAATTGTTAGGAGTAGCTGGAATATGAGAACGAGGAAGGATTCACTTCTGTTTTGCCGCCTTAAACGGAACCAAAGCCACGAACTCATATTGGTAATCCAGAAAGAGCGAGTTCTCAGCTGTGGCGCCGCCTTTTTTGGACAACTCAAACCATGGCTGCATCCTCTTGACATCCAAGTCGATCCAACTCCATATCATACTGTACAACACGGCGATTATAGTTGGAACATAAAGGTAACTGAACTTAGCGTATCCTGGAATATCGTTGAGGGTGGGTGAGAGGGCTAGTCCACCCTGAGTTGCACTTCGTTGTGCTAGTGTCTCGATGGCGATGGCTAGAAGGATCGTAAGGGCGATGACGGCAAGCAATATCGGTGTCGACAGCGAGAGTGGTTTCCATCCTTTTCCCCTGTAGTCTTTCTCCTCCGGAGATACCTCTTTCACACCTGTAGTGGTCCTAGCCTTGGCATTTCTCTTTGGTAGTAGTGGTAGACTCTTGTCCAAGGAGCTTGGTGTTGAGTCGGCTGTCACGTTGCCCTGCAGCCGAAGCGCTGCCGTCTCCCAACTTGACATAACTAATTAAGAAAAAGGAAGAAGTGGCCTGCCAGCCTCTACACAAATTGTGTGAAAATAGAAGAAAAGATTTCGAGGCTCGAACGCCAGGCCACAGCCGTATTAAGACTATCGTATCATGGGCATAGTTGATGAACAGCAGAACCTTCCGTAAGAGGCAAGTGTTTAGAACCAACATCTATCAATCCGGTGAGTAAACAGAATCTCTAGCGAAATAGCAGAAGATGTGTTAAGGTAAGAGGAATATGCATGTTGGTCGATGGTTCATTATTACGAAACAGGAATAACTGGGCCTTCAAGGATCTGATACTACCTAAATTTACAGAATCAGCCTGGACTAAGCGCCGAACGAAAGTCAACCAATACTAGCTCCTGTAGATAGTCCGATACTTCAGCTTTCGCGCTATGTACTGGGAGGGTCATCCTTGCAGAGTGCCGCACCATCTGTATAGACAACTCAACACGGTGACAGTTTCAAAGCAGAAAAAGACACCAGAACTGGTGACCTCCTCCCCATTACTTTCAACTAATCGTTGACTCTAGAGAAGAACTTGCGTTTCGGAAACAAGACGTTTGAAGGGACTAATCTGTTGTTTGGGCACAGCATTAATGTTAAGTGGAACCAGCATGTGGAAGGGGCTTAAAGAATGGGCGGCTAATTGACCGTTGCGGTTGGACGGAGCGCTAATCGCTCAAGCGCTGAGCCTTTTAACTCGGTTTAGTGCCGGGTGGCGCCTTTCCGCAACGCGGGAAATGAAAGATGATCTGCAGGGTTACCTTGTTTTCCGATTGGACGCTGTGTGCGAGTGTTGGTGATATCCTGAGATCTACGGAGTTATGCTGTAGATGCTCTCCACCGAAGAGTAGCGTTGTCCTATTTTTACAAATCAAATTAATTTGGCGTAATAAATACCATATTATTATACTAAAGTTCTCGTAATAGATTGGCAACGACACTGGTCGGTGAGAACCTGTTTCAGCAAGTGTTAGATGGAATCTGAGGTATTGTTTCCAGTAGATACTTGCAGTTCCACAAACGATTCTAATACCTGAGCCCTACTTCACAAAACCCCATTTTGGACCTCATAAGTATTACTCATTTTGATTGAGAGTAGTTTGCATATCACCAGTGACTTTAACTTGTTAGCAGCGAATGCTTTTTCAATTGCCTATCTAACAGGCAGTAAGTAGATTGCTGATGGGAATCCTAAAATTACCTATATTGAGGCCCTGTGGCAAATTTCCTGTCTGCTTTGCTAGTAGTGATGATCAAGAAGTTTGAAACCAAGAATCCATTTCCATTCTTGAGAAAGTGAGTTGCTCAGATACTCATATCGACTATCCCTCTTCATCCGCCTGTTTCGATTGAGCTTGGATTCTGGGTCCAGATAGATGTTACACTTAGTATACCTACGTTGAATCACGAACGTGAATGACATTTGCTGACGTTGTGTGTACTTTCTGTAACTATGCGTAGCAAACAGGGGCATTTCCTCAGGTTGAAGTCAATCTTATTTGTGCTGCTTTGTGTCGATGAGTAGCACAAGCCTCAGTCGTCACTGGATCATGCCATGAACAGGGGACGCGTCAGATATACAATCACCTAGGTATCCGTAGAAGAAAGCTCATCAATCGACAAAGGGAAAGATTCGATTCGAGTAATATTTGGGTAGGGGCGTTCGGCTAATCGTGAACTGAAAACACATACGTGAAACAGGACGTAATAGCGAACGCCGCTGATAAAAGGCAAATGTACAGTCACTGGTCTGTCCTAGTTCGGTGGGATTTTGGCGCAAGCTGTCGCATTTGATGACTTTTCGGCATGGAAATAGAACTTGCGGACCCCAAAAAGGTACGGAACTAAAAGCTTAACTAAAACATGGAAATTTGATACTAGGTTCCTATTTAATTATAAGAGAAAGAAAAAGAAAGCGATAGAAACTTGTTGCCTTCTGTATTTGATAGGTAAAGGTTCATGTAAGCTGTCTTAATCCCCAGATTGAGCCTTCCACCCCAAGTAAGGTGCTGACTCAGCACTTGCATCATCCATCGCATCTAGGCCAAAAAGAGCACTGCGTCAGCTACGTTCGTTTTGTCAACGCCATCATCGCGAGCATCGTCAAACTTTCCCGGGCGTCCAAATTGTTTCTTCTCAGTCAGCATCTTATTGGCGTTTATTATTTATCGTTTCCACCCATAGGTCTCGATTCACGAAATTATGACCAAATAAGCACAGAGCTCGACCCCGTACGATTTCATTCATCCTCATAACTAAAGCTTCGACCGCCACCGCACTGAGGCTGCTTCGATTCACCGACCCACGAATTCCGCGCAAACGAAACCGAGCCTTCCCAGCAAACTCATTTCACTGCTTTAGTGGACCGTTCCTCTTCACGTTGCACGAACAATTTACTCCACGGTTCCCTATCTACGAATAGTCCGACAAGTGCCACCCCGCAATCCACCAACTGGAATCCGAAACACGCCCTTTTCCAACGCACATTCTTATCTACGACCTCGCATCTTGATAAAGTGTACAAGCGGATTCATCAAGAAATACTGTCAATCATACATCGATCAAACAACTAAGTAGCTCCCCATGGCGAGCCGATACGACCTGAGGTCCGCCCAGGATCTAGATACGAGCTACACTTCTTTGCCTGGGACCAGTGGAATTTCTGTCACTCAAAACTCGACGCCGCTTAAGGACAGGATACCAAATCACAATATGGGAGGTATGTTTACAATGACTCTTATACATCAAGATCGGTAGCTAACTGTACGGCTTCCAGGATGTCACCCCTCAAGGTGGATATACGAACTCTTGCACAATAAGTTCACTGTATGCGATGTCTTTGAACGGTTGCGCAAAACGGAACCGAACACTCCAAATCCTTGGGATCACCCCCATCGATTGATGATAAATGGTAACCAGAGTTACTCAACCAAATCAACGCGGGTATTGTCCTCGCTATGCGTTGACTGCCACTTTCATTTTGTGTTTAAGATGTCATGGGACGAGCGACACTCTCAAGAATCATGCAACTTTCAACAGGGGCAGTGGCCTCCAAGTGATGCGAGATTCCCCTGGCATCACCTTGTTTGGGTTGGTCAAGAGTCGCAATCTTCGCCACTCGTTAAGATTGATGACAGACAACGAAACAAGTATTACCCGCTCGTTGCTTGCGAGCCTTTTGCATGCTCGGCCGGCCCATGTACGTTCTCCGTCACGCTGGAAATTTCGGAACCTCGCATGGCTCGCGAGTGGATTGACTTATTACTTGACCACAATACCATTCGTGAGAATGTGCGCCGTGCTAAGGAACAGGATCCGGACCGGTACGCCGCAGCAAATGATGACTGGGCACTGCAAGCTCCTCTGAACCTGAACACATACCTCAAGAACATAATTGAGGCCACTTCACAGGAGAACGCGAGGAGTATTTCCAAAAGGAACAAGCGATTCTTTGTACTTTTCGGGACTTCATGTTTTGAAATGTTCAGACAACTCGAATTCGAGGAAACAGTTGATGTAGCGGAAGATGGAGTTGATGGAGGGACTTTCACACCACCGATCCCTCCTCAGTCAGATAACCCCTCTGGTGCTACCGATTTAGGAACATATCGAGCATACATCGAAGATGTGAGATCTGAGGTTCAGTGCATTATCATTATACACAGAGGTGGCCAGCCTCCTGACCTTTGCACTCCTGGTATACATGCCGACATGGGATGTGCAGAGGTACCGAACGTGGACCCTGTCTTCGTGAACCTTGCGCGTTATGAGATCCTGGGAGTTCTGCCAAATCAGTCGAAGGAGATTGTTGTCAATGCTTACAAGAGACAGTGGGAAATTATTCCTGATAAACGAAAAGAGCTCATTGAGGCTCTCGTGGGTATTGGAAATGACCTTAATGACGAACAGCTCACTGAATATGCTACCACTCAATCATCAATCTTCGAGAGCCAAGTACAAATTCAACCAAACAGTGACGATCGCGAGTTGACGAGCGAGGCTTTGCTATTCTTCGGGCTGCAGCCTCCGAACGAATACAAGGCGCAATCCATCGTTCAAGCATTCCGACGAAAGGTGGCACAAGATCCCAGCTGTGCTGCCACCGCCCGAAATATGTTGATGCTGATCTCTCAAACATCATCCGATGATAACTACACGACAGAGTTGGTGATGGAGTATGGGGAGGGTTTCGGTTTCTCTTTACTCACGGCGAAAGAGATTCTTGGCTTGAGTGATGCCAGTGGCTTTGGGCCTGATACGTTGGACGATGTCAAAGAAAAGGTCAGAAATATGCGTCTGTTGTTGTTGAGCCTAGAGCATGAGTCTAATCAAGTGTACAGATTCAAAACGCCAAAGACAAGGATGCCAAGACAACTTACTTGGAGGCTATGGAGAAGATTGCCGAGCACACGAATTCAACCGGTCTCAAAAGCGCAGTTAGAGAACTGAGAGATATGCATGGCATTGTAGCTTCTGGTGAAAGGAGCGCCGCCGGCGCCTCCGCACAAGCTACGAACTTTGATCTTCCGGTCGGACTGGAGAATATTGGAAATACGTGCTACCTCAACAGCCTTTTGCAATATCTTTTTACTGTCAAACCTGTTCGAGATGTCGTTATCAACTATGACAAGTTTAAGCTCGACTTGACGGATGAGAAAATCAAGGAACGATTGCTTGGTGGTAACAAAATGCAGCTGGACCGTGGCGAAGCTGTCGTTGCTCAAGCTTGTAAGTTTGTCTAGGTAAGGCCGCTACAGCTTAACTGACCAAACTCAGTTGTACAGGAGCTTTCAGATCTATTCAACAATCTTGAAGAATCCGACAAGGTAGCGACGCGCCCGTCTCAGAGGCTCGCCAATGCTGTGCTATTGTCCACGGGCACACTCCTCAAGGAAACGAAGAGCTCTGTTGAAGCAACAACTGAATCTCAGCCGCCACCACTTCCTACTCGACCGCCCCCTGGACCCCCAGCACAGGAAAATAACGACGTGGAGATGATTTCTGTAACCGCCAATGATAGCCGCGACCCAATTGATACAGCTAGCACCGTCAGCTCGCAAACACTCGTCGAAGAGGATTCAGACCGTTCTTATGAGAAAGTGGAGACCTCTCCAACTACCACTGAAGATCAGGTAATTGACACAGTGATGGAGGTTGGACAAGATGAGGATGTCGTTAAAATCGGTCGAACGAGTGATAAGCCTATGGAAATTCCCGAGGATGTCGAAACATCGAAGAACGGCACTTCCCAGGATATTGTGTCTACTGATGTCAACATGCCGGATGCCGGGGAGCCACAAACGGTCGACCAGAAGGTGCTGACTGCTCTGGAACACCAAAATAGGTCTTCTGGTACCGACCAGCAGGATGTAGAAGAGGTGATGGGCAGCATCATCAATCGTCTCCAAGCCGCTATCCGCCCATCATTTGTTGACGAGTCAACCGGTATTCAATTTGAAGAGATCATGAAAACTTTCTTCGTTACCACCATTAATTACACCAAGAAGTTTGACGACAAGACTTATCAAAAAGAAATTAGTTTTGATCGATCTATTACTGCATTCCCTGCTCCCAAAGGTTCATGCTCACTATACGAAGCCCTTGGCCGAAATTTCGACCAGCAAATTATTGAAGAAGACAAACTTTCACGATATACAGCTATCCAGACGCTACCCCCTGTTCTGCACGTACTCATTCAAAGGTCGCAGTCTATAGGGAGCAAGAACGGCAACCCCGTACTAATTCCTGAAATACTGTACCTCGACCGATACATGGATACCCCCCACGACTCCCCGACCTTCAGAGAAAGAGTCAAGAGTTGGGCCATCGCCAGCCGCATATCTGACATCGAAGCCTCCAAGGCTGCAGTTGAGAGCATGAGTCCAACTGGACCCATTCTCGAAAGCATTGCACAAGAAGAGGAAGCCAAATGCAGTATTGCAGCTGTCACAGAAGACAGCGAAATGACAGATGGTGTGAAGATCGTGGAAGAGGACTGGAGTTTCGATGGGACGGTTGATGACGACTATCTTCTTGTTAGCCGACCCAGCGTAAACTCAGTGACCTCGACTGGTCCACCTTCCAGGCCAAAAGACATCAAAGACACCGAGACCGCTCTTCGGGAGATGATGGATTCTGAGCTTAAAGACAAGAAGGTAGCTCTGGAAGATTACTACTCCAATTTGAAGAGCAATCCATACCGGCTCCATGCAGTCATATGCCATCGTGGCCAGCTGATATCTGGCCACTATTGGGTATGGATTTACGACTTTGAACAGGGTGTTTGGCGCAAATACAATGATTCCAATGTCGAGGTCAAACGCAGCACAGCCGAAGTCTTGAATATATTGAGTACCAGTGGAGAGCCATACTTTCTTTGCTACGTCCGCGACGAAGATAAAGAGACTTACGTCGACGTACCTCGGCGTCGAAGACCAGCACCACCATCAGATACCTCGTTGGAAAACCTTGACGCTGATGGAGATATAACAGTCACCAACAACGAACCGCCAAAGTCCTCAGGGTCACCTCAGGAGCTTCCGCCCGCATATTCGGAGCAAAAGATTGACTAGGGACCTCCTCCACTGTCGGTTAGCAAAGGTGTAGCGTCTGTTCCGCCCAAACAGTCATCACCAGTTAGAACGGACGCGGCGGTGACCTCTGGAATCCAAAGCACTCAAAACCCAGTTAAGCGGGTTTCCTCGTCAGACGAAGACGATGCTAGTTCTCCTACAAGAGTAGATGTGTATGAAGCTCCGGGATCACCCACAAAACGACGAAGGCTTGTCGAGACTGATAAACGGGCACCAGAGCCCCCAAGATTGCCCCATACCTCTGAGAAGCAATCTCAGGATGACCCTAAAACAGAGCTTGTGATTGGCGCAAAACTGACCCATGAGGATTGTAACACAATAGCTCAAAAGGGCAAAAGAGTTGAGCTTGGAACCCCCAATCGAGCTATCAAAGCGGTCCAGAGACGGATTAAGTTGAAGGTGAAACCTCGGACAAATCCTCTGGATGGCGCTAGGCGGCACCGTGGGCCCTGCGGCATAGTACATCGCATTATCGAAAAAGCCAAGCTTCAGGGAAAGCGTGAGAAAGCTACCGAGGACGACGAGACAAAGGACCCGTAATCTGTGGTGTGAGAAGGACAGAGGTAGTAGAAAAGGATAGACCATTATTGAGCCAAAGAACCTTTCAACGGAGTTCATGTAATTAATAGGTTTTTGGGTGGGATTTCCTGGTGATGACATGCCCGGAGGATCAGATAGATGCAGAAAGAATAGCAGATAAGTCGTTGTATACTGTTTCATGAGTTGCAAAAAGAGAGCTTGGAGTTGACTCCATCTGTTTTAATGGCCAATTCGTCAACCTTTCATAGCTCATACTGCCCACATTGCTCGGGCTTTGATATCAACTCTCAAGGATTTCAATGTACCTTATCGGCCAGTGAAAATAGGCTTCCTCTTCTCCTGGAAGGCCTTGAGGGCTTCGTTTCTATCCTCGGTATTGACGACTCGCTCATACATCTTGTTCTCAACCTCTTCCCTTGCCCATGCTACAGCCTGAAGAGCAGCCCTCAGACCAATTGGCCCTCCTTCGCAAATCTCCTGCGCCAGTCTCACAGCTTCACTCAACGCTGCTTTTCTGGCCTCGCCAAGAACATCTGAGCCATCACGCTCATCCTCGGGTACGACCTCAACAAGCCGGTCGGCAATACCTAGAAAGTATGCCTCAGGAGCGCCAACGCGACGGCCGGTCAGGATCAGATCGCGGGCGCGGGAGAGGCCGATGAGAGCGGGAAGACGGTGGGTGCCGCCGGCGCCGGGGATGATGCCTAGACGGGTCTCAGGAAGACCGACCGTTGCATTGGAACTCAGAACGCGAAAGTGTGTGGAGAGAGCAAGCTCAAGTCCGCCGCCGAGTGCGACTGAGGAGATGGCCGATATGGTAGGGATGGGAAGGTTGGATAGAGATGTGAGGGTGTTGCGAAGATTTGTGAGAAATTCAGCAGTTCTGTGCCCGGTGATTAGTACATCACATTGATATTTGATATAGGGAATACTGACTCTCCCTGGCTCATCCCCTTACGCTCTTTGAGGTCCGCGCCAGCGCAAAACGATGTATCAACAGCACTAGCCAGCACAACAGCTCTCGTAGGACCCTTCTCATCTGCGCCAGCTGCACCACCAAAACGCTTCTGCAGTGGCAGTTCTTCGCCATTGGGCCCATATTGACTATGTAAAGCATCGATCTCGGCGCGAAGATTCGCTAGAAGAGCCCTTGAAATGGCATTTCGCGCAGACGGGCGGTTAAGCTCAAGAATGCGAATATGGCCAGTGTTTGGCGCGGGGAGGTTCGTTACGCGGATAAGAGGTTCGGTGGTAGAGGAGTAGTAACGTCTGAGAAGACGAAGGGTCACTAACGGTTGGGAGAGACGAGGTGCCATTTCGAATAGATCAATTGGTGATTGCTGGGTCGTTATTGATGATGGGGAGCTGAGCTTTGTATATCATCTTAAAGTATCTGAGACACGGCATTGCGAGCCGAGGAATGACGTGCATCGGTTGGTGTCGGTTCATAAATGTTAAGCCGATAACCGATAAGACAAGGACGGGATTTTAAGAGAAGCATCTGTAGATTTATGGTTAATCTAACTTCACACGGTTATATACATCCTTGCCTGTTGAAGCCTTTGATCATATTCTTGTATGTAATCCTAATGAGTAGGATATAGGGTTGTCACTATCAACGAAGCACGTTTGGTGGAGATGATGAGTTGGTCCAAGTTCCACATACAATTATAGGATGTCGATCGACAAGAAGACGGGCCAAGAAGCTGTTACTGTATGTCTGGTCGGCTTATATAGTTGCTATAATTATTTTCAATATGATGATAGGAATTGCTCACTATCACCTCTCTTCTAATCTTGAAAGCCTGGAAAACAAAACCCATCTCTGTCACATTACAAGCTTCTCTAAAACTTCCATTCTGGGGAAACGTGCCAAGACAGCGGCATATAGACTAATTACAGTAGCAAGCCCAGATCCCAGTCAGCGACGAACTGGACCCATTGGATTGGATCGTCAGCCTCCTCCGACTTCTGTTGATCTTCTCTTTCTTCCTTTCCTACTCTTTGGCATATCGGGTAGTATAGCCTTCAGATCAAACAAAGACCATGGAGGGACGTTCTTAATAGAGCCCGTGGAGGATACACTACGTCTCACCAAGAGACATCTCCGCGATGGCATCAGCATCCATTCTGCAATCGCTGTCGACCTCTGCAACTCTCACCTCGTCTGTGCCATCATCTACAGCCTCGAGTACACCTCTCACTATTCTCATTCGCGATTCCATCGAAGGAACGTCGGATTTCTTCCCGTTTCTTGACATCGCCGGTCTCGGCTCTGGCTCTGATGATGTTGACTCGGGACTCACTTTCAAAGAGCTTTTCGCCACGAGTCTCGATGGGAACCAGGAAATAACTCTGTTCACTTCTGGGTGCCAAGTTGATGGCAGAACCGACTGCACACGCGCCTGCAACAATTCCAGTCTTTTCTTTAGCTCGTTGGAGACGTTCTACAATTGCGCTGCCTTGGCTGCAGCGGCGCATTGGACTCAGGACGCGAAATCTTACTATGTCAGCCAAGAGACTGAGCGCAATGCTAGCGCAATCATGGGATCTGGAACTTTGTCAGAGTTTGACGGTCGACCTGTTCTCAGATCTCTCATCGCTTGCGCTCAAGATTCTTGTGATAACGATGGTCTGAGCAAACCTTGCAACCGGACAATTGACCGCCTCTCCTATGATACCTCAACCCCTGAGGAGATATTCGAGGCCCTAGACGAGTTTTGTCCAGAGTTACCAGCCGAGGTCAACCCAGATATCTTTGGGCCAGGAGTAGGTCCGATTAGCATTTGTTGAGTTCTCTAGACACTGACATGAGCTTCAGGTTCTCATATCGTATGTTCTTCAAGTATGCTTCGCTGCATCCTTGTATCTGCTACTCAAAGGCTTCACTCTCTGGGTCACTATTACACAAGATACAAGTCGTCGCAAATCAGAACCTAAGCCCTATCGCCTGAAGCGCAGCCTTACCCGAATTGAGAGTATGATCTGGCGTGACTCTGGTGGCCTGTCGCGCACGAGCATTGCGATTGCAACCACCTTAGTCGAGTTCCAAGAGGCTCAGTGCTGGTTTGTATTTGCTGTTCAGATAGCATCGATTCTTGCCATTGTTGTAAACTCTCAAGAGGGTACCTTTTGGGGCGAGATCGTTGTCAACGCTGCCATTGCATTTCATGTTTCTCAGAATGGCATACTGCCAATGTTTCTTATCCAGGTCTGCCTGCATCATGAGGGCATTCGCAACTGGCACACTTTTTTGGGCTTCTTCATGGAGTATCTCCTCGCCATCGTCGCAACCTCGCAAAAGATCTATTTCAAAGACGCGTTTGCCTTGTTCAAGAGCCAGAATGAGATAGAAGCATGTGGCTTCAATCCAAGTCCGCGAACATATTGCGCCGCAACTCAAGGCATCGATGGACAGTCCTTTAGCTTCTTTCCGCATCCCTTGTTGTACAAAATGACATTTCTTATTCTCGACACCATTGCCATCATTGCCTTGCTAGTTGATCAGCTGGCGTGGACACTTCGCAAGCATCATCTCACTAAACATGTTCAGATTGGATCGTATCGTCTTGGTCGGTGGCCGCGCTGGGGGAAGCAGAAAAGAGGACTTTTTATCAAGACGTGGTTCTGGCGCATCCTTGAAGTCGCATATCTCGTCATCAACATCTTGTACATGATCTCTCTAACGAAAGTCATCAATGCCGAGAGTTTTGCTGCCAACAGGTGGTCATATGGCCAGGTGAGTCTCCATCCCCTGATCAGTTCATTTATCTCATGATACTCGATAGATCATCGCTGTTACCGTCTGGGGACCAGTTATTGTCAAGCTGTTCGATCTCTTGCTCTGTAAGTATGCGAGAAATATGTTCGAGTTGTTATTTTGCTGACTGCATATGCAGCTGGACCTCCTAAGAACGGTATGAGACTCAACTCGGGTCCACCTAGGCTACGTATCGACAACGTTATAAACGGTCGAGTGGGGACATCCGCAGATGAAGTTATTGAAGATGATAATGAAACTGACGAGAAATGCGACGAACCGGAGCCAAGAGCCAGAGATGAGGGTTTCATGATTCGACAAGCTGCTACTATGCAGTTGGGAGATCCGAATCACGACGGCCGCGATATTGAGAGCGAAGCAATAGAGCCAGAGTCTGAAGCAGCATCGCCGGATGGTATCAATGCCGAGAGAGACGTCAAAGGCACAACGAAATGACGATTTATGAAGTGCTGTTCTTTTTTCATGATAACGACGGCTGATGATCATTGAAAAACCTGTTATGACTTAATGTACTAGATTTGAATCCGATTTAGATATGAAAGCTTCAAGCGATATGATCAACCAATGAAGACGGCCAGGGCAACTGTGAGACCTGGAAAGATGACAGAAACTTGAGCCTTCGGTTCTAAAAGCGATAAAAGTACTCAGACATGCTAAGATCGTTCATAGTGTGTTTTTAACTCTTTCGATGCGTATTTTCGCTTGCTGCTTAAGGTCACAACTGTGTTGACATTTCGTGGTGAGTTTATTAGCTCAGTTTGGGTTAATAAAAGCTGTTGCATTGATCTTGTTTGTTAACAAACTCGCAGTAGATCTAATGGCACCTTCCTGCACTAGCAACAGCCCTTTTTATGTAGACGCACTTTCCCCACAATAACTCCCAAACCTTCTTTCATCGATCGGCCACGGGATCTGTCGATGATGAGATTGAACACAAAACGTAAAAAGAGGACAGGCTCGTTCTCCCCGTTTATTTCAAGCCTCACTGCGTCATCATTACCTCTCCTTTTTTCACGTGCTTGTTTGGTCGCGCCGCAACAGGGAGCTCTTTCCCCGCGAGTGACATCATGCAGCTATGACAAGCTCCCGTCGTCATAACATAAGTTGCAAGAGCTTCCCGTGTCTCTCTTTCTCCTTTTGAAAATCATCTCTCTATTCTTCTCAATTTCATCAATTGAACCTTTTCTTTACCTCACAACATAAAAGATTATAATTCAACTTTCCCACAACAAAATACCAGCAATCACCATCATGTCTTTCCTCACAGAGAACGTCATCCGCCGTGTCGCCCTCGCACCTCGCGTTATCGCCTTCCAGGCTCCTCGAACATTCACCACGAGCTTTGCTTTGCAGCGAACTGCCACAGATGCTGTCAAGGACACTGCCAAGAAGGTTGATCGTGTTGTGAGCGACAAGATTGTCGACGGCATTGAGGCTGGCGGTTAGTCTTCAACTATCAACTGGCTCAAGATGTACAATTGCTAATAAGGATGTTCAGAAAACGTTGCCTCGAAGGCCAAGGATGTTGCCCAGGATGTGACTGGTGGCAGCGCCACCGGAAAGGCACAAGAGCTCCGAGGAGAGGCTGCTGGCAAGGCCCAGGAGCTCAAGGGTGAAGCTAAGGGCGCTGCTGAGCAGGCCAAGGGCAAGGTGAAGGGTGCGGCTGAGGAGGTCAAGGGCAAGTTGTAAACGAAGCTCAAGCTTGCCATGATTCAAGTGGGATATAATGAAGCTCAGACCTCACAATGGTCTGTTGTACGATTACAAGGCATGCATCATAAGACAAAGGGAGCAAATTTTATGCATTAAGAAATCAATTGACACATTCTTGTGCTAAACTCATCGCAACTATGACCAAGCCACGTTGGCTTCTTATTATGTGACCATACCACAACTGAACGCAAAGACCTGCTGTCTGTATGTGACACTTGGCTCAGGCAAGTGAAACCTGACGTCATCAATTTTGGAACTGTCTTTCCCGGTATCATATTCATCTCTAAGGTATGTTACCCATCTTCATATCATTCAGGTACCTTATTAAACATACTTATTCATTCTGATTCCACCATGTATTACAAGCATCGCCCCAACCTGCCACCATTTACTTTCCCCCCTAACATTAGAAGCATATGTGCTTAAGCAATGTTTGTCTTCTTGGGCTGGACATCGATTTCGCCAAGGGGGAAGCGAACCCATGTCGTATCCTCAGTCATAATACCAGCCGCACCTGCATAGAAAGCTGCGAAGGCACAGATGCATGAAAATGCGCCTCCAGTCTTGTTGATTCGAATAGCTGCAGTAGGGTGAGTGGTCTGCAGAAACTGAGCCAAGCTGAGGAAGAGGAAAGCGAGGAACAAGAAACCGAGAACAATGAGGATGGCAATGTTCGTCTTGAGAGCGGCCACGAAGAAGATAAGAGTGAGGAAGCACCACAAAATTAGGAAGATGCCTAATGCAAAGCTGTATGCGCGGTCATCGCCCTTGTATGCATCCTTGATACCCAGATCAGGAACGAAGAACATGGCGAAAGCAAGCCAGAAGGCACCGTAGGAACAATGGACGGTAGTACCAAAGGTATTGCCGACGCGGAACTCCATAAGGCCAGCAAAAAGCTGAGCAATGCCACCAAAGAAGACAGCCAGACCAAAGATGGCTTGGTCAGGACCGACACCGCCAAAGGGGTTTGATCCAGGAAGACTGTAACACAGGGTTAGTATGTAAAACTATGACCAGGCAGAGGGGAATAATTTACCCAGCACCGCACTGGTAGAGGCCGAGGACAAAGGTAGTCAGGGCGAAACTGATCAAACCCAATGGGCCAGGATTGGCAACCTTGAAGAACGAAGGGTTGTACACCTGTGACACCATGGACTGGTGAGGCTTCTGAATATTCCTGTTTCGTTCCTCATAGTAATGGTTGGGATGATTGCAATGATAGTGGCCTTCCTCCTTATCAGTGTACTGTGTCGGGGTAGTTGCCCCATGGGAGGGAGGAGTGCCTGAAGACATCTCGTCTGAGTATTGCACTAAGATTTATGGAAGATGAGTAGTGATAAGCTTATCACTTAACACGAGAGAAACAAGCTTATATAGAAAGATTCGGGGTAGAGTTCTGGAGAAAGATCTGGTCAACGCACATAGATAGGGTCTCGGACATGGCTTTATATCCCCATCGTTCGCACTTGGGTACGAGATCTACCCCAAACTCAACTTTGAGATGACGAACGAACGAACGGACATTCGACCCCATCGGTCTCTTGGAGTGTGGGAACGGCAAGTTCCAAAAGGTCACATTGGGAGGATCAACAACAGGCTGAGAACTGATAGTCCAATGTGATAGTCAAGCTCATTGGAACGTGTCCCATCTTCCGAGCTCAACGACCCACGACACTAACAGCCCTTGAGCAAGAACATCACCAAAGGGCCGAGGATCAAGGATGGGCGTGGAGAATAGGCCCAGTAACCAGTGTGGAGGTTCCCAACATGGTGTGACGGAACCTTTGCAGGGCCAATTATCCCGGGAACGCTGGATATGTCGGCACGCGGATATACCATGCTGGAGACAGTGCTTGGGGTTGATTTAGACGAAGCGGAGCCAGTGTCCAGGGTATAATCCAGTCGTCATAAGGTTGGTGATGAGAATTGTGTGGCAATGGTTGGCCAGGTTCGAGTCAAGTATCCATACCCGCGGAGATTTCAAATCATATCATGTAAACCACTGTGTATTGTGCCGTTTATTTTTGCCAGGGTCTTTCATCAGGTAGTGAAAGTCGACACTTCAAGAATCATCGTCTGCGAAGCTGGGAGGAGTTCAAGGCCAACCATGAGGCTCACGCCAAGCCGGGAGGATCAATCCTGGCTCAGCTAGTATTGAGCCTCAACACGAACCAGCAGGGGAGCTGCACGTCGGAGTTATTCCCACGAGAAAACACCCTAGAAGCATTAGTAAAGCAGAGAAAAGCTTGCAGTGGAGATGACGACCGAATTGTAATTTGTGTCGTCGATAAGTGGAGTGACATGACTGTCGGAAGAATTCCGCTAATGAACTCCACCAACTTCAGCTCACAACGTGGTAAAAACGAGGCTATCAAGAGTCATGTTCATACAGAGTACTGCTATTGGTTTCATTGGCTCACAGACACAGGAAATGCCGTCCCCAGGTACCGTGTGTCTGGTTGATCTCTTTACGGGTCTTCCCCATATGTGACGAACATTATCGTGTCATTTACCCCAAATCGCGGAGTCGGGCTTTCACTCAAATGAGGAGAAGCATAAACGGAATTAACTAACGTGAGAGAAACGTGAATCTTGTCCAGATCGAGGCTCCCGACTTAGCGCAGCGCCTCTGATGACATGGTGTGTGTGATGGTTTGTTATTCCCGCGCTTATATCCTTCTATAAGTTGTTAACATCCTCGGTAGCGCTCGAATGGAAGCTCGGTTACATTCAACTAATTGCCGAATGATTCAGGGTAGCCAGCCTTTCATCTCGATGAGAGATGATAATTCAATACTTCAAGAGTCGGATATGTCGGCTGTGTTGGTTGCTGGATGAATTGCTTTACTTCGAACTGATCGTCGGTTGGAGTTGCTTCTGACTGAATTTACCCGGGAGCGATTGGAAGGAAATACAGTGGTAACCCGAACGGATAATGTGAACGAATCTGTCGTCGAATGCAAGGGTATCTCGGGACGTCGGCAGATCGAAGCAAGGATGCTTTGGAGACCGCCTTCACCGTGGTGAACATCTCGGTGAAGAAACAAGGATCTGGTCTCGTGACCATCGCGGCTGTGGCTTCAATCGCCGTTGTCGGGCAGCCCGGGCATTAGATAATCCCTGCCACCTCAGTCGGCGATTGTGGGGAACGGAATCTACGGGCTTGGATGATCCGCATGCTCATTCGCTGCGTGATACGCCACTTAAACCTCCATCTTTTGTAGCTATGGTTTCCTGCTCTAACATGCTCAGTCCGCGATATCCAAAACCTCATAGTTCGTGGTGCTGAATATGATTTCAATGTCTCTGGGCTTATGCCACTCAACAAAGCCGTCATGCCGCTGAACAAATCTGCTATTTTTCTCAGTTCCTGCAATGCATTTCCCGTCGTGTCGAGTATAACGCCTATCCGATCTATAACGTCATCTAGAGGGGTCCGATTTAGCCACGCACCAGCAACGACTTTCTCAATAGACGGGTATAGGCAATATGCTACAGTTAGCAGCGACCAAAGAGGCAGTTTCAGTCATAACGAAGTACCTGAGTGGCCCAAAACTTCGTATCCTTCTCCCTACGAGATCTTCGCTATGAAGAGTGACGCTCCATATACCAAGCATCGATTCTATCAACTTGTCAAAGTCTACCACCCCGACCGACACAGCCATGCTCCCAATACCGATAACATAACGCACAAGACCCGCTTAGAACGGTATCGCCTCATTGTTGCTGCCAACGACCTCCTTAGCGATCCCTCTAAACGTCAGCTCTATGATGTTCATGGTGTAGGATGGACTGGCGGTCGTCCTCAGACACTCAACGAAACTGTCCGCAATGCTGATCGTGCCTGGCGCCACAGAGCCGGATCTGCAGCACATAATGCTACATGGGAAGATTGGGAACGATGGTACGATGCCCGTGATGGCAGAGTCAAGGATCCTTTATACATGTCTAATGGCCTTTTTGCCACTCTTGTCGTTGTTATGTGCATGATAGGCGCTTTTGCTCAGATGAGTAGAGCAGATCAGTACGGCGCCGATCTTGTGGAAATGAAGAACCAGTCCAACCTCGCCATTGGGCAGCAGGTTGCCCGTCGTCATACAATTGCGGCGGGTAGGTCCAAGGATGAAAGAGTTGACATGTTTTTGAAGGATAGAGAGAACTTGAATTATGCTTTCCAGGCTGGAAAGTACGACAACGAAGTGCTGCAGGCAGCTCAAGGCCATGATCCTCGTCATGAACATAATGGAAAGGTGTGAAAGGAGCAGGAGTGGGCTTGGAGGATGAGGCAACCTGGGGTTGGTGAGAACATACCTTGATTTGCTGCGGTCCTTTTCTTTCGTTCTGTTTTGGAGCATTGCCGTGTGTCAGCACGCAAGGAGTCTGGAGTCTTTCGATGTTGGTCACCAACTTACAAATGATTTTCTTTTGCAGAAATTTTGCAGTGTGAAAGAGGCCTTGCCAAAGAAATAACGCCAGTGATTCAAAATTAACATCTAACTTGCTACTCTCGATTACCACATCATACCGACTACCATATACCATCTCTGTGGTCTTGGTTTAACCAAATGTGGAACATCGAAACATGAGTCAAAGTTGAGACAGCTTTGATTAATCTCAAGCATAATTAAATTGCGTTGGCCTTCCCCTGTCCTATCTAGAGCATAACTAAATAGCTAATTAACTTCAAAATTGTTCCTTGGGGACCCATCTCCTATCTGTAAGCGATAAAGCTGTAACACAAAATCTCGTCGTCTCACTCTCATTCAGAAACACCGAAATTAAGCCAGCCCCTATTAGGCAAAAGGTGTCTCCAAGAATCAAGGCTCAAAGTCCTTATTAGAACGCTTTCCTCTGAATTTCTCCTCGTTCCCGACTCTGATCAGTCCTGTTTGACATTGTGCTGAATCTCGAAACCAAAGACACAGGGCTTACAACACGTCGATCAGCCTGGGAAGAACCAGCTCGAGACAGAGGTGAAATAGGTGACATATCATCGTCAGGACTTGGCGGAGACTCTGAGCCTTCTGAGCCATGCACCTCAGTCATACGGCCTCTGCTGACGGTATATGCCCGTGGCTTCTGCCACGCTCGAGTGAAGCTTCTTACCTCCGCCACGGCGGGCTGAGGTGTAGGTGATCGGACACGGTCACCATAACTGACCCAAGAATCCTCTAAGCTCGAAACTCGGTCGTTACCCGATTCTGTTAGAGGCGGAGGCGTTGGTAATGGGGAACTCGGTGGTGAAGGGCTGTAAATTGGTGTCTGCGGAGGAGTAATTTGGGTCACTCTTGAGCGTCTTCGTGACTTTCGGACCAAGAGCCAAGTTGCCAAGGCTGCAATGGCTAAGCCAAAGAAAACGCCGATTATTATAGCAGCTATAGGTCCATCTGACAGACCACCAGAGTGGTGCAATGTTGAAGCTACAGAACCAGAGCTCTGGTTGCCGTCAGGGGTCGCAGTAGAATATGTAGTATAAATGTTTTCAGTAGCGACAGGTGTCGCAGTAATAGTTGTTGAAGAAGCTGTTGGTATAGTATTAGGTATACCATCTGGATCACTCGAATATGGATTCATCGTCTCCCACACTGTCTCTGTCATGACACCGCTCTCGCTGTCTCGGTCGCTGTGGACAACTGTTTTAAATGTCGAACCATGGCTGGATTGCCAAGTTCGTGGGACATCTCTGTCCTCATGAGCAGGAACTGTAACGTCTGCTGAAATCATACTAGCCATGAGTTTGTCAGTTTTGAGGAACAAGCTTGTCGTAGATGCACCAGAGTTTGTCATGACCAAACTTGATTTTGAGAATGCTTTAGGAGAAGAGAAGGAGACATTTATTCTAGGTACTGTGCCATAACTTGTATCGACTGATCCGTGTTTGCTACCTTGTGCTTCAGTGTGCAAGAGAACCTTTGGTGACACCAGTGATGCCCGGCCAAAGCCTCATTGTTGGACTGGTAAACTATCTTTAGTCGTGGGCTAAAAGCCATCGTCAATCAAGAATGCGGTGGTACGATGTTCTTGGGTGAACACTTCAGGTGACGGGAGAAGAATTGTGTTATTGATTAATGTTACATTTCCTCTGGAATCGGTTGAATCACCGGTCTCGAAGGCCCCCTACCTTTGCCCTCATGACACGTTCAGCATTTGCAGGAACAATGCGCTCAGTAGGTCCGAGTCGCATCATCTTTCCCACAAGGAACATGAGCTTGCCCTGAGGAAATGTCTCAGAGCTAGCGAACTCCTCTAAGATCTTGTGCTCTCCTTCCATGGCCTCATCAGCCAACTGCTCATATTCCTCTTCAGGAATCTCATTGAACCACAAATCGTTCTCTGTAATTGCCTGAGTGACTCCCCCTTCAATCTCCTTTAGATAGATGGCAAAGAGAAGTTCCTTGGCAACTTTGCCCGTGATTTGTTTGCGTATCAGATGATAAAGGAGCTGTGACAGGTCTGAGTCAGGAACTTGCTCACAGTCTCCTTCTGGCGTGAACGTCAGATCTCGGGCTGCAAGTGGGCCAGCCTTGTAGGTAGTCAGACGGCCAAGTTCGTGTATGATCCAATTACCCACCAGAGCAGAATAGCTCTTGAACTCGGGTATATCGGCCGCGCTGAAATCTTCCGAAAACCTGCCCTGGATGGAGTGAAGGACCTTATAGTAGTATTGAACTCGTGAACCATTCTCTAGGTTAATCAGAGACAACGCATCCTTGGCCGTAAGGCCAAATCGGACAATCAGAGTGTCCAGCTCCGAATCAGGAGTGACCGCCAGGGACTGACGCAAGTGGCCTACAAGGTCGTTTCCAATGACAAGAGGCGCGATATCAGGGTCTGGCATATATCGATAGTCAACTTCGCCCTCTTTTCCACGCAGTCGCCGTGTTTCAGTAGACCCTATAGACCAACCGCGAGTTTCACTGGGAATAGAGCGTCCGGCTTCTAACTCGCGGATTTGACGGTCACGTTCTGCAATGATAGCGTCCTCAACCGCTTTGATGGTACTCAGGTTCTTGATTTCGGTTCTTGTGCCGAGAGATGGGTTTGATCCATCAGTTCGTCGAACAGAAACGTTGACATCAGCTCGCAGACCTCCTGTTTCCATACCCGAGACGCAGGCATCGACGGTATTCAACAGCATCTGAATCTTTCGCACAAGGACGGCAGCAGTACGAGGGTGGTGAAGTTCGGGCTCAGTAATAATCTCAATAAGAGGGACACCTACACGGTTGAAGTCGAGCCATTGAACCTTGCCAGCCTGAGCCAGCGTCTTGGCAGTATCCTGCTCGAGCTGAACCTGCTTGATTCCGATCGTCACACTATCGCCATCTTGAGGCGAAATTCCATCTCGAGCCAGAAGCGTGATATGTCCATTCTTGGCGAAGGGCTCATAGTATTGAGTGATTTGGTATCCAGAGGGCTGATCCCACCAGAAATAGTGTTTTCGGTCGAATCGACTGACTTCTTGGACTTCGCAGTTCAAGGCCAAGGCTGCACGCAAAGCGGGAATTAAAGTTTCTTTTTGGAATAAGGGCTGGCTTCCTGGCATAGCAACATCGAAAAGAGCAACATGGCTATTGGGTTCATCGTTGAAAGATGTGACAGCTGGCGAGAATAACTTGCGGGCAGTGTTTAATTGAGCGTGAATTTCGATACCAACGGTCAATTCCCAGCCATCAACAGTTTGAGAATCACCCTTTGGCTTCTTTTTGCCTTGCTTCTTGGCCTTCTTGGCTTCATCCTTGAGCTGCTTCCGTAAAGGCACTGGTTGCTCGGGACATGGCGTGACAACTTCAGGAGCAGCATGCAACCGCCTTGTCGTATTGACGATGGCTATCGCTGCCGATGGTAGTGGTGTGTGTCTGGATGCATGGCGCGTACTGATACACCCTTGACGAGGTACCTGTCCTTTCAACAGATACTTGCTGAGGATAGACGTTGATATTCGTGACATGGTGATAAGACGTGAAAGTTCCTGGTCATATATCTGCAGGATAAGGCTTCTCGGAATCCACTCGAGCTTGTGTGGTCTGATAGAGCGATATCAATCAAGACCCCAAGCTCTCAAATCTGCTTGGTGTGGAGGTGTTTTGGTTGGAGGGACGGTAACGGGGGGTTGCGGCAGAATGCACTATGACTTGGCAGTTCGAATAAGGCTGATCATATGCATACAATCAAAACGGCCTCAAAACCATAGTTACTCTAACTCAATTGGTCTTTTGAGGGGGTCTTGAAGCAATCATTGGATGTTCTTTTTAAAGCTCGTGTGGATATCAACTCTTATCGTAGCGAATATCCGTACGGAACCAAAGAACAAGGTACCCTACTACCTAAAGATCGATTCTAATCACGTGCCTCAAAGACCGGGGTCTCAATTGCCTGTCAGCCTGTGTCTGTCCATGGTTTCTGTATCTCTTGGTATTTGCATTTGATCTTTCTTATTTTTATTTTTATTTTTTTTAAGCTTCCATCATTAATCAAAAGTAATGCGTTTGAAGAATCTTCAACCTCTTATTTCTATGTGAACTTGGCTCGATTCCATATCAGCCGAAAGAGTGTCCCTCTTTTTCTTTCTTCGGCTCTCATTACTTGCCTAGGTACTTGCATTGGATGGTTGGATGACTGCTCTCAACACCACTTCACATGCGACAGTGATTGCTTCTGATACCACCCAACACTCGGACTACCCACCATCACTAACTCATACTCCAATGGCAAGCTCAAGTGCTCAGCCGGCCTCCGCGGCTCAGCTGCTCACGCCGTCGCCGCTGGAAACAAGGCAGTCAGGCGAGCGCATTGACTGAATGAATAGGAGACATATCATCGCGTCGTCATCTTATGCCGATTTGTTAGCTTCAAGAAGTTTTGAAGCTTACACTCTCATCAACTCTCCCGCATTTACTCTCGATACCTGTCATTTTTAAGCCCCATTCAAAGTTATCGGGAACTTTTCTTCGTCTTACCTTCTCCACGCTTTAATGTCCAATCTCACTAGACTATTGGGCTGACATATTTACGGTTGCTCACGGATTCTGGCGTCAGTTTCCGGGTGCTACAATCCTGTCAAACGCTGTGTTCAGCTTTATCACAGCCTCAACAGACGGCCGCCATTGCTGAGATGCCTCCTATACCTCAGTGAAGGCTTCAAGGACACCACGTTTATCGCACGGTGACACCTCAATATTACAGTGACGAGTCTTTGATAAAAAGAGCGCGGGGTTTATCTAACAAAGCATCCACGCGAATTGATCAAGATACCATTTCGCAAAGGACCAACAGCGCCAGCTCACAATGAGCGACAGGGCACAAACAAGGCCCCGGCCATCATGGTCTTCTTCGGAGGGCGCCATCCAAGAAACAGTATCCCAGCAATCGAAAGTTGAAGACTATGAAGAAACAACCAGTCAGCCGCCTAGTGAAGGTGCTACTCACTATCCAACACCGCCTAGTTCGTCATCCAAACTAGATCACACCCGCTCAAACGTTCAGCGAACTGTCAGCGGGTCCGCCGTTACGCAGCCAACACCCAACGACGACGCAGCCGTAACTAAGCCCACTGGCAGCAGGAGCAAGATGCTTAGGGAAGCTAGGAACATGAAGAACAGGGGAGCACGTCGACCTGCCAGTGTATCATCATCCGGGCCTGATCCATACTTTGTCCCCCATGACACCTTTACATCATCCCCGGAATCGAACTATTTTAAGAATACTCCCAGCGGACGTAAAGCAGTGCCTTCGGCATATGATCCAACAACTGTTTCCATTGCCAACTATCCTCAGTCTCCTGTTAGTCCTATGTCATACGCTGGTTGGGGACCAAACCATACTCCAGCTGGCTACCCTCCATCACAAGACCCCTTTTCGCCTCAGCAATCGGGGTTTCCACTCATCGAGCAATCCTATCATCCTGGATTTACATATGTGAACCAAACGACCAGTAAATTGGAACCTCCTACTGTTAATCAAAATCCTTCATACGATACTTCATACGACACCTCTTACCCAGAAACCCAGGACGAAATGGCTGTGCCTAATGAAAACCTCCCAATCGAAGCTCTGGATGGATACGCATCTATCGCAGCCAGGATCTCCGGCCGAGCTGAACCGCAACTGATACCCATATACCGAAGATTCGACTGGCTGCTTCACCGCAACCTATTGCGTTATCAAGACCAACTTGGGATGTTGGAGGAAGAACTAATACGCATGGATTCTATCACTACACGATTTGGGGCGCGCATACCTGTATCTGCTCGGGAAGAACGGCGGCTTGGCCACCAGATCCATCAAGATAGGGTAAATCTTATGGAAAGAATAAATGATATTCTTTCCAAGTACAGTGAGTGCATCAAAGACCCGGGCACGACTTTATCTAACTGAGTCAGAAATGGCGATGTCGACACTAGAATACATGCAAAAGCGACCACCACCAACGAATGACGAGATACAAGCTTACAGAACTTATCTGAGCCATAGGCAGATTTTGATAGACGAAGAAACTCAATTCCTTGGTGCGTCAGACCTCCTCGCCCTATCACACGGGACGGCAACAAATGTTCCTGGAGTCAATCAAGCACCGCCTGCCCCTCCCATTGTTCCTCTGAGAACTCTCGTAAACGGGTTCTCTATGAGTTTTCTTTGTTTAGGGGTATTACTGATGGTTCTTCCTGATCTCATAACCCGGCTGGTCATGTTGGTCTGTTATGGTGTGCTGGTAACTACGATATTATCGACTACCGGACATCTCAGACGACTGAGACAACTGTTCGAAGGCTAAAAGGGACATTTCCTTTAGACTTTCAGCTCGAAGGTTTCAAGTGAAGCCCTTCTCATGGTAGGCGGTTGGAAGGACTTGATAACAGGAGAGGTCAATACCCAAATGCTAGGATTGCGGATTTATTTTTCTCTTTGTACGATGGTGGGCAGAATATGAGCTCATAATTTTATATTTGAGGACATAAGAAACTAATTGCAATGAGAGCATCAGGATAAGACATATATCATGAAATTTGTGTACGAGTAAAGACCTTTTCCACAATTCCCTGCAGCGGACATGGACAGCGATTTGGCGTCTGCTAATATCCAACCGGGCGAATGGTTTAGTGGTATAATACTCCCTTAGCATAATTCACCTGAATAATCTGGGAGTGGTCCAGGGTTCGATTCCCTGTTCGTCCACTCAAAATGGTTAGAATCCATCATTATATCCTCTTTTTTTTCTTTAACTATATAGTTTACCCTATACATTCGAGATCCTGTTCATAGTGCCTCAATACTTTACATAATGACGCAGTAGAATAATATTGTTTTTAAACACTTGCATAGGTACAATGCTTATTTGGCAACAACTCCAATCGCAATTAATGCTCTCGAGGTCTTGGTGTGAAAATGTTGTAGGCAGATGCAAAAGACCCTGAGACATACCGTTTTACCACAGAACCCACTCTTTCGCTTAGACAAACCTCAACCTGTCCTCCCGATGCCAACAGAATTGCATATAGGTACTTTGCATAACTCTTCTCGGAGACTGCCTGTCCTTCATCGGGTACTCACTCTGAAGCACATGCAAGTGACACGACACAAGTGGATTGTCCAGACACGTGTTGGAGAGACAATAGCACAGCCTAGGTATGTGAGATTACCATGGGTCTTGTTGAAGCATCGTATTCATGCTGAGCGATGGGACCCGCATGTTGTTCAGCAGATTTCGTGAGTCTAAACTGAGGACAATATAGCAAAAGTTGCTGGGAGAAGATGCGAATCGTTAATCTATCTCAGACAGATATGGCTTATGTTGTGTGTAGAAATGCGAGATGCCGCTGCGGTTGCAACGTAGGACAGGGCCCGCAGTCTCGCACATTCATGCAGAGAATGAATGTCTTTGAATTTCAGTGGCAAGAGTGATTAGACATGAGCTGTAAAACACAATGCTGTTGACCGAGGTCAAGTATGTGGGCAGCAGTTCCTTATGTTAGGGATCAGTTTCGATGAGCAGAGTTACAGTGCAGAGCTGCTTTGAAGACTTGTATATTTCTGACGCTTGATAGCTACATCGAAGGCTTGGATAACTATGTATATGACTGTAGGAACTTGAACCAATTTGTGTATAAGTAGCTACCTGAGAACGTGCAGGGCTCCCAAGAAACCCACTGGCATATACCAGCAACAGATACAACAACACTCATTCGAGCAACCAAATAGAAAACTCTCAAGAAATGACGCCCAGAAATATCAAACCATCGTTAAGTTCTCGCCCCGGCAGCTATGGCTATTGTTAAGGCCCTTTATGAAGGGACTTTGTGACTCAACCTCCAGCTCAGGGGCAAACACCAAAAGCGCGATGGGATGCCTCAACACCACGTAGTGCAACAAAGAGTCGGTACCACCAAATAACGGCTGTTGCTTTAGCATTCTATCAGTATCCATAGTTACCTACATGCACTAATTACTATGTTACCTATTCATCCCTATTGTTGTCGAATCGTTGCCCCTTGAAACCATAACTCGCCAGCTGCTCGTCACTGCGAAGGTCCGTCACTGTCAACGGACTGACACTTGCAGCCAACCTAACGCAGGGGCCTCTGCTATTGTTTACCTCGGCCTCGAGGTAGAAAAGGAATCCTCTCGTCATTTGATTTTTCCACTTCTCTTCTTCTCTTCTTCACCCTCCCTCTCATCTTCTCTTCACTGCATCGATCGTGCACCTCAACACCCTTTTGCATTATCCTTCGCATACAGTCACTTGAACTACAATATCTTCCAAACATCAACCTGTGAGTCGTCATTCAACTTTGTATTTGCAGTCTGTGCGTCTTTTGAAGCATTCTGCACTTGTGCTCCGTCACCTCCGCCGCTTTTCTCACACACGCATCTCGCGCTCTCCTCTCCTCTCCTCTCCTCCACCGCGCCTCACAGAACACTTGCTAATCTCTCCGATAATCAACAGACTCACTACCTTCGCAATGGCTGTTCTCAAGCTCAAGGCTGTCGCCACCATTCTGGCTTTCTGTGCTGCCTCTGTCGCCGCAACTGGGGGCGAGACTGCTACTTGTCTGTGTTCGTAACCTCATAGGTCTCGTGGTATTATATTTGCACTAACACTTGCCCAGCTGCTCATACCACCACTGAAACTGCTGTGACTGATTCTGGTTATACAGTCTCTGACGGTATGCATTTCTATTACCTTTGACATGGCATATGCTGACTGATGGTAGGTACTACTGTCTCTACTATCAACATCTGCACTGTCACCCACGAGACCCAGTGCAATCAAGTCACCTCCGTGCCCTACAGCATCGCGATGCAGCCTTCCTCTGCCGCCGAAATCCCCCCTGCTCTCACTGGAGGTACTCCTCCTGGCAGCTCCGCTATCTCCGTCGGCGCCCAGGGTACCTCTGCTTCCACCGAGGCCATTCCTCCTGCTGAACAGACTGGATCTCCGTCTACTGATGTCCCTGTTATTCCTATCCCCTCCTCCTCCGGTCCCAGCTACGTCTCTGGACCTGGTTCTGCCTCTGGTAAGCAGGAAACCAACCCTGGCCCTACCAACTCCGCCAGTGTCGAGAACCCTTCCCCTTCTGCTGTCAACAGTGTCACCGATGTGCCCGGCGTCCAGACCACCACCGCCGCCTACGGATCCTCCGTCTCTGACACCGCTGTCGTCGTGACTGACTCGGAGACCCGGTACGAGTCCGTTGTCTCTGGCACTGCCACAGACACTTACCCTTCCTCTGCCGAGGAGACCGACGAGAGCACTCCTACCGGCACCCCTGGTGTCACTGCCAGCGCAGCAGCTAAGATGCTTGCTCCTGGTGCCGCACTCGCCATCGCTGGCATGCTCATTGCTGTCATCTTCTAAGACAAAACTTCTATCATGCTTTCACATGCATTCATCATGCTCACTCTATACTCGGATATATCTTTCACGCTAGAGAGAAACGGATAGTGTTGGATGGTTTGACATGGAAATATCAATGGTCGTTGGTCTAAGAGCCTGCAGCAAGTAGAATGATGGCACGTACAGGATTGTTATGGATTTTCTGGCTTGTCGGAACCGAGTGAGGGACTTAATACGCGCTGTGCTGTACCTAGGTACTCTGAAAAGAACTCGGATTTGCTACCATCATATGTGTCTTTATTGTACGCCGTGAAACTATCCAAACTAGTGTGCTAAGACTGACCTCTCTAGGTATGCGCCGTCACGTGGAAACCCTTTATGTCCTGATATCTTTACTCTTTGACATGACATACAGGGCAGCCCCCTTTCATCTTATCCTTCAGTAATCGCGCTCTCATCACCTTCATGCCTATGGAGTACCGACTTCCCTCCTCAGAGCCATTGCCTAAATCAACATCCACTTTCTTGTTCCCATGCAACATCTCCAGGAGATGACTCACGTGAAACACATGCCCACAAGCATACCCAACTAATGTTTCCATCTCGAACTCTGTAAATGGTTCATGACATCTTGCGCAGTGTCCCGGTTTCGGCACTCTGTGATCATGGGCCGTAGATGGGTGAGAAGGGTTGGGTTCTGGGTTGTCGGGGTCCGTGGAAACATCCTTCACTTGTATATCCACATGTTCCTGTTCCTGAATAACTACCTCGAACTTGATACCCTTACGTTGACCAGCTCGAAGCTCGTTCTGCGCCGTGGCAACCTCGCTGCGAAGGACTCTTGCAACGCCCGAACTAATACTGTACTGGATCTCGTGTTCCTTCATCATGTGCGTAAGCCCCTCCCGGAGACCCTCAATCTCAAGTCCCTCAGGAATTCGCTGCACTACAGTAATTGGGTTGATAGCTGTACCGACTTGCTCCAGCAGACCTCGAATGAAGCTGGGTTTGTCCATGCTGTATTTAAGTAGGTCTTCCCATAGGTCAGGGTCGTCCTGTTCTTTAGCAAACTCAATTGCTTTGTGAACATTCTTTAGACGATCGATGATGAGGTACAGAGCTCGTTTCATTTGGCCCGTTTTAGAGTATAGAAACACGAGCTCGTCATAGTATGAGAACGTCTCACACTCTTGAACAGCCTACATTTAGTCAGTATTTTTTTTTTTGGGAAGGAGAGAGGGAGAGAGGGCTTCAGGCTACCTTTTCAAATGTATAGGAGACTGAAGTCTTCAGGTACTGCATAAGCAACGCCCGGTCGAAAGTCGCAAACAAATGTACAGCCAAATCCGCGAAGTTGTCAACCAAAGATTGACTGTCCATCACCAGCCGGTCCACATTCTCTCCACTATGTTCCTGAATGCCATCGCCCTTCCATAGACCTCGGAAATAGAAGTATATGTAAAGGTTGAGCTTCTTGGAGAGTAGTTGCTCCACCACAATATCTGGGCGCAGGAGGCCATGCTGAGCTTCGTCAACGAGCAGTGTGATGGCTTCTGATGTCGCTTCATCAAGCTCCTCTGCTGTCATTTCGTTGACTTTACCCGACGGAACTCTGAGGCCAATGAAGCTAGGAATATCGTCTTCAACAGCTTCTGCAAGGTGGTTGTCTCTAATCAACCTGAAAGCCGAATCCGCATCATGGAGCTTGATATAGCATTTGAGAGCCTCGCGATGTCGTCCATTGGCCTCGTGTAACCTTGCCAAGCTCTCTATTACGATCCTCCAGTCTCGCCCCTTTTCCCCTTCGTCGAGGCTGTCTTCGCGCACGTCTCGATACTTGAGCTGGTTCTCCAGCGCAGTTGTGATTGTTTTTATGTCGAAAAGCTCAGGTGACCAACGATCCAATAGCTCCCTAAACCTTGGCTTGTCGTTTTGAATATAATGGCCAAGTACAACTTCATAAATAGTCGAAGGAAGGGGCGGATGCATGGGCTCTGTGGGAATGTAGTCCGTGATAGCATCGAATTTCTTCGCACCAGCAAATGTCCAAACCCACTTCTCCCATCTGTCAGGCGTCTTGAGCACCTGGCCACACACTTTACCAGCAGATGCCCAGTTATTCTCTTCAATAAGCTCTTGTATCCAGAGTTCTCCGATACGCCTTTTCTCTCGCTCTGCCGAAGAATAGAAATCTCGCAGTTGCGAATCGACGACAGATTCGTCATCATTGAATTCGTCACTAGGCTCCTGGTTCAGTGTGGGAGTCAAAGGAGTACCATCATTAGCCCTTTCGTTTAGCGGTGCCATGATCTCCGGGTGTTCATCGAGTAACTCCCAGGCACGCTGGTAGTGTTGGCGCTCTAGAAGCCATCCCAAATGATCACTTAGATCTCGTCTGGTCGCGAGAATGCAGTCATACGGACTATGTATGAAGATCTTCACGCCTGGTTTGACAAGACCAGAATGAACGGTGGGGGAAAGTCTTTGATTGGTGCCGGGTCGAATCGTCCCTGCCGTACTCCCTACGAGACTAGAATCATCACCGCTCCCTCGGCTACGAATACTAGCCCCGGAACTGAATAGGGAGCGAGGGTTGATGGCCGCATTCCACATATCCGTGCCGATCCCGGCGATCGCCTCCAGAGCGCCCCGAGATGAAGCGATTGCAGACGCAGCATTGCGTGCAGGCAAAACGCCTAAGTGGTAATCACCTGATGACAATCTCTCGTAACGACTGACGCTCAAACTGTCTTTGTCGGCTTCGGCCTGGGAGTTGAGATCGATAAGGCGGAGTTCAGGCGGCTGGTTATTCTGTCGGCGGCGAACACCGCCAGAGGGCTCGCTTCCTGTTGAAGGATTGGATTTATGCTTTTTGTTTGGCGAGTTTGAAACCAATCCGGAATCCTCATCCTCGTCCTCGTCCTCGTCTTCAGGCAAGCAATACGCGAGTACTAACAAAAGGTTGTGGGTATATAACGAAATGCCGGAAATGATGCAATCCATCCGAAGTCTGTGTCAGGTCAGCTTTAACTCAAGGATGCCATATTCACTGCCAAACTTACATTTTAACAATTTCGGCACGCCCGACAGTCTTCTCGCCAGCGTGCCGGCCGACACCGACGCCTCCTGGATGAACGTGTATGATCCATATCGTCCCACCCCAACCTACAAGCAACCGCTCGATATTCTTCTTGCCCATTACAGCCTGTTCTCTGAGCTTGTGTGCAGCAGGAGATAGCCCTTTATCAACATTGCTCTGGTCAGATTCATCCACTTCAACAGCTTGTTCATCGATCCATTCAACGCGGCCTTTCCATACACTTGCCATGGTCTCCCATTCATCAGTTTGTGGGCGATCAATGTGTCCAACTCGTTTCCATGCATCTTCTATATCTGCGCTCTCGAGGTGGAGCTTTGACCGCATAATTTTGATTCCATGTTCATTGAGCCAGACCACATATTTCCCAGACAGGGACCATTTAATAGTGCTGATAGCTCCTTCGCCAGAGTGTAAGATAGTGTCTTTGCCACTATTGCTGCCAAGTCCCATACTACCCAGCCAGCCGGAAGCTGTGGCCGCAGCAGTTCCAGTTGTTGTCGAGGTACTGCGACCCGGACCACCTCCGGCGGTAAGAATGAGCTGACCAGCAAGCCCTCCTGACAAATAGGTACGATCTGTCTTGAATTCTGGCGACAGAGCCACAGCTTGAACGGGCCGGGCAAAGTTCCGCAGCTGGACATCCTTCATATCAATAAGAGACTGCACACAGACATTGCCATCCAAAGAGGAAGTCGCCACATAAATATCGTTAGATGGCGTCCTGGGGATTTGTGACGCTTCGCGGGGTCTTCTGAAGGCTGCCGCCGGAGATGCATCGGCTTGGCGGCCAGAGGAGACAGTAGCGTTGCTGGATGTAGTATGCCTTGGCGCTGCTTCCGGCTTCTTCTCAGTTGGCAAAGGGGGAGGGTACGGAGATATTGATATAGAGGTAACTGAGGCTGAGTGCGCATGGTATACTCTCATGGATTGGAACATGGGGAGCTGAACAATGTGCTGGCCCGGAATTAGTGAGAGTCGCGTTGACCACCTGTCCAAGACTTACGATATTGCCATTATGCGTTCCAACTATCTGGATAGACATTAGCAAGCTGACATGCCCCGACACAAACGTAACCTACCATTTTATCTCCCGCGACAAGAAACGCGCTAGTTGCATCGCCGTTTCGATACACTCCGTTAAGGTGTTGAGTTAACCGAGCATATTTGAGTCTTGGTTCCTCATCCTCATCATCATCCTCCTCATCATCTTCGTCGTCGTCGTCGTCTTCATCGTCAGCTTCATCGTCATCGTCGTCATCTTCCTCCTCTTCTCCATTGTCTTCATCGCGGCCCGACTTTTTATCATTACTTTCCTCATTCTTTACATCTCTGCCTTCGGTACCCCCTTCCTTGCCCATCGCATCTCCTGATTCAACATCTTTCTCGTGCGCGACATCATCGGTAACTTTGTTTTCTACAAGCGGGAACGTTTCGTTGGCGGCTATTGCTGGCTCATGCTCCGACGGTTGGGCATCGGTATCGCGCGCCAACTCATGGCTCGGTTGCGGTGACTGCTCCGTCATTTCAATGACAACAATGATATCATTCTGGAAAGCTATAAAACCCGGAACGAGAGCGTTTGTATGTGTTGGTAAGTTGCTGGGTTGTTCTAAGTAGTTGTTGAGAGCCCTGGCCCAAAGCTATGACAGCTTCCAAAGGTCCGATGCGCAAAAGGTCGGTAGAGGTACCTTGTACCTTGCAGCTACGTCACGAGGCAGTGGAGCTTCAACTAAGGTAAGTAGCCCCACCATCTAACTTAGCACTCATGATAGGCAGGACCAGGGCACTTCGCGGGGCGCAGTGCACCACTGACAGATCCAACATAAAGTAAACAATATCTTGACGCGCAGCAAAATATATTCAAATCTCTCTCCTTCCTCAAGAGACGACCGACCATCATTTTCTTCTCGAGAAACCATTGGTAATTCCTTGAAGGACCGCTTGTTTCTCGACGCGCTGAAGCAGCTTATGGCGGGCATTGAAACATGGCGACGGTGAAGTCCCTGGGGTTGCACCAGCCCTCAGGGCTTCAACATGCCATTAACGAACAATTGTTACCGCCGAATCCACCCCCAACGTCCTATACATGGGATATTTCAACAGAGGATCGATTTGATGGGGACCTCGAAGATGAAATCCTTTCGACGGAACACTGCGTCATATGGTGTCGAGGTGGAATATTTCGAAAGACCTTCAGATTCGAACTCGAAAAAGAACCTGTCGTACAGGCTCTCCTAGCATACTTTCCGGCTTCCAAGGACGACAAATCTACGCAAGAGGAAGAGGCACAATCGGATCAGCGACCCGCTTTGTCTAAAGCGTTGGTTGTCTTCCTCAAGACACAGGCGCACATATATTTCCTCTCTGGCACCAGCCATATTGTCCATATGCCATTCGAAGTTGAAACAGCATTCGCAGGCCCAGTTGGAGTTATTATTCAACGAAAGCAAAAAGCTGAGAGTGTTGCGCCAATCTCCTTCAAGTTCCCTCGAGTGCCGCCGAATTCCTTCGTCTCTTCGCAGTTGACAGCATTCAATAGCTCTCAACTGACCGCGTTTTCTGTGGAAGGCCTTGGGAAACCGAAAGCACTTCCACTTCGTCTGAGCTCGACTTTAGATAACCTTTGGGAAGCTCCGCTGGAACAACCCGAGTCCCGCTGGCCACGCCTTGTTTCATTGACTGACCCGCTGCTGGAGTTGGGACTGGTCGTCACAAACCAAGAGCCCCAAAATGGCAAAAGCTTAAGGCAGACAGCAACTAAGAAGCTGGCATTCCTCGATTCAGCTGAAGAAGTTCTCCATGTGGAAGAGGTCAAGATTCCTGGCGCCTTGACACAAGATCTAAGTCAACCTCTGATCATTGCGGTGACAATCAACCGCGAAACTAGTGAATACACTGTCTGGCGCCTCACGTACCTGCAGCATGAAGACCGTTTTCTTGCTCGACAGAAAGATGCTAAATCAAAGACTGCCCGGCGTCGTAGTTCCATGCCTCCTGCCTTTGCTAGTACTCCTGGCACACCTGTCCAGCCCAACCTGCGAGAAAGCTTTGGAGCACCTCTTCCAGGAAAGCGGCCGAGAAAGAGTGAGCGCCTTGAAAAGCCCATGATTGACCTTGTGTCATCATTAGAACAACAAGACAAGGAAGGCAGTGGTGTTGCGCGGAGGAGCTCTCGTAGGGTCAGCTCCATGTTGGCGAGAGCGGACTTGTCTGCGTCGCATGAAAGAGCCATATTGCCAGATCAGCCGCTGTTATCCAGTCATGTCGGGGCTAGGAGGCATGAATCACAAGGAAGCCATGCACGCCTTAGTGCCAACTACGCCCATCAGATTCATCCTAGTCTGAGTAGTCTGTTAGCGGCACCTTTCTATGAAGGCCTCGACGAAGGGTTTCACAACATGGGTCTAGACGATCATGAGTTTGATGGGCTACAGCATGAAATACTGTTTACTAAACTTCACAGCGTACCTATGAATAATTCCAATGTTCGATACTCGGATCAGCCAGCCCGAACCCAAACCAAGGTCTTCATCTTGGTGGCGCCTCCATTTGCAATCGACGGCCATGACCAAAGCCAACTTCTCATTGGCATTCAGGATGCTACCGAGAGACGTCTTCAGCTTCTCACACTGGAGCTGGGTATTCAGCGTGGGACTAATATGGGCACCAAGCAAGGGAAGAAGAACAAACCCGACAGTACAACCGTCGTAGCCACTGTTGTTGACAGACGGCATGCTCAAAATGTCGTTGACTCTTGCAAACTAATGGACGGTGACCATTCTGCGATTCTAATCCTGTCGGAATCGATGGATGGCCGGCACGAACTAAGTACCCAGGCACCGTGGAGTGTCCTTACAAAAGTCTCGCTTTCACTTCTTTTTGTCGATAACACTAGGAGTTTGCAATATCGTGGCAGAGTTGTGGACCGTGATGTTACTCAGAGAAAGTCCGAGGTTATTGACCTCAGTAATGGCAGCATTGTCGGTGTACGGCATCCGCGACAAGGTGGCATTGTTGATGTTGTCGATGCTGAGGGTCGCCTTCACGAGCTCCGTATCCAGCTCGAACCGCGGTCACCTCACGTTCGGAGAGTCCTGGACGTTTGTCGTAGTATTCTGCCACATGCACTTGGTGAACACATCTTCGCTGGCTGGCTTCACTGTATGCAATGGATGGGAGGCCACGGCGAGACAAATACCGATATCGAATGGCCTGCGATGACCGTCCTCCTTTTGTCTTTGTTTCTGAGTCTCGGCCGGACTGGCACAAAGCCTTTACAGAAAACTCGACAACTTCCTCGAAGAAGAAGGCACCCTTCGGGGACTTTTGGCTCGATCAGAGAATCGGAGGATTGGAGATACTTGGAAAAAGCCGAGACTTCAAATTCGTTAGGGTGTCCAACTTGGATGATGAATGGAGGTTGGCAGTGGGCGCTGGATGAAGATGGGGACGATTCTGGAGACGAAACTCCATCTACAACTTTCGTTTCGAAACATACGTCTATGGCCAAAGAGTATATGGCCTCTATACTAGGCGAAACGGCATTCGGAGCCGCTGGTTATATGCCAACCTCACTTGGCAAAAGCGTGGAGAGCCGCCGCAAGGTTGCTGTTGATGTGTTTATGGGTTTGCACCTACTTCTCGAGGAGCAAAAACTTGATATCATGACACCAGAATTCAGATCTCCTGGCCGTGCTGATCTCCGAGTCATTATGTGTCAAATTGCTCGATGGCTCAGGTGGCCCAGCTTCATCGCTATATATGAGGCGGGTATACAAGAAGACGTTGATCAACGTCATGATTCCGGTATGTTCTTGAACCATCATTGTGATACAAAGCTAACCATTAGATGAGATCTCAATCTGAGGCCTGCAATCCCTCAGCCACCCGTAAGGCCAGATGTCGTCAACTGGATTCAATCACGTCTCACTGGAGAACGGAGGGTTCCTTACATCACCCCAGCGGATGTTTATTACGCTGGCTCCCAATTGTCCGAAGCGGAAAAGTCACAGGACAGGCGATGGGAGTCTATTCTCCCAAGAACACTTATGTTTAAGCAATTCTTCAAATTCATGAAACCAAGCACGAGTGCAGTTCAGATGGTGGAAGCTATGAGGGATGCCGGAATTACACCATTAATTCTTGATACCCTCCCGGAGGCCATTCTTACACCTTTACGTGATGCCATTTCATTGTGTCAACCGCACCCACCGACCTCCTGGTCCAAGGACCTCCTCGAATTGGTTGACCGCCGGGATATCAGTCTCATTCTCGCTCCTGGGAAGCAAGCTAAACCAAGCGCTTCCAAGATTCTAGTAAGATTTCAACCCAGTCTTCACGGACCACCACTTACAAGCATTAGACACCGACACACAATGCCACTTGGGATTACAAACTGCTTTGTCAAAGTGTCGACGAATCAAACAATACCGGATACGATGATGGTGAAGGAACGGAACGTCAAGCCATCATTCGCTCCTTATTCAAAGAAGATCGTCGCCTTAACGAAGCTCAAGATTTACTTTCCACCCATAAGGCAAGACTGGTTCGACTCGATCCCCACCCAAGTTGGCCAGAGAGCGAATATCTTGAGAAGCAAAAGGAGCTCGTAACAAGAATTGCAACAGGCACTTTGGCAATTCCTGCAGGCCGGGCTTTGCTATACTATAGCCTTCGCTACCCTTTGATCACGCAGAAGTTTCATATTGGTGGATTTAACCTCAATTGCATTGTAAAACCAACAAACACCACGGTGGGTGTAGACAAATCACAGTTCTCAGAAGAGAAGGTTTGCTGGGGCTTCTTTCACCAAGGCGTCGCAGCTGGGTTAGCTATTTCTCCCCAGGCCCAAGGTATCGATACATCATGGATTCTTTACAACAAACCTGGTCAAGATCTCAACAATCGACATGCTGGTTTCCTCCTTGCTCTCGGCCTGAACGGCCATTTGAAAGATGTCGCAAAATGGGTTGCGTTCAAATATCTGACACCAAAACATACAATGACCTCCATCGGGTTACTTCTGGGTCTGGCAGCATCTTACATGGGTACAATGGATTCGTTGATTACTCGCCTACTTTCCGTTCATGCCACGAGGATGTTGCCTCGTGGAGCGGCAGAATTGAATCTGTCCCCCCTAACGCAGACTTCCGGTATAATGGGCATCGGCTTACTATATGCCAACAGTCAACACCGGCGAATGAGTGAGATTATGCTCTCTGAAATTGAGCATATTGACGAAGAGGATGAAGAAGAGCCCCTGAGAAGCGAATGCTACCGATTGGCAGCTGGATTTGCTCTCGGATTCATCAACCTAGGCAAAGGCAATGATCTAAAGGGATTGCATGACATGAGACTCACAGAAAAACTCATTTCTCATGCTACAACAGCTAAAAACATCGAAATAGTTCATATTCTGGACCGAGCAGCTGCTGGCGCAGTCATGGCCCTGGCTCTCATCTACATGAAGTCAGAAGATCAGATCGTCGCGCGCAAGATCGACATACCCAACTCGGTCTTGCAA